AAGTGTTGTGGTTGAATCTCTCGTTTCAATGTCAAAAAGGAATAAAACAAGTGTATGTGTGTATGTGTATGATGAATCCATTCGTTTGAATCATTTTACGAAACAATTACTGGCAAAAGTAAAACTTGCATCTACTGAAGAGTTAGATTTATTAATAAAATAAATATCATTTTAAAAGATTAAGTTGAGGTATTGATATTAGAGATATGTTGTTAAAATTGTTTAAGAAGTATTATTTTTAGAATATGTTTAAATTAGATCAAAGACATTTTAATTATTTCTTTAATGATTAGTTTAATTAATTAAAAATTTAATATTTTCAATTAAAAAATTTAAATTTAAATTTTAAATTGAGTGAAAATTAATTTTAAAAATATTATCTTTTTTTTTTTACACAATTTATTATCAAATGTACTAAAAAACCACTCTAGTTATCCAAACAAAAAGATTAACACAAACAAAAAGATTAACACATGTATATAAACTCACCTTTTAAAAAAACATTGTGGAATCATTTTCTCAATATGAATGAGAAAACTACAAAATAGGACTAGAAACTATTAATTTATTTTTTTAAGATATTTGATGGTAGATTATAAATAAAAGATAAGTTAGATAACTTTTTTTTTTCAAATTTCTTTTCATTTAATTCAAAATTTAAATATAAAATATCTAAATTAAAATTTCATTTTTTTATCAATTGAATTACTCTTAAGGGCCTAATAGTAGCAATGTATATATTTTTTATGAACAATAGTAGCAATAAATTGAAGATTAATTAATTCATAAATCAAATCCTCAATTCTTTCTTTCTTTCTTTCTTTCTTTCTTTCATTCAATTCTTTCTTGCTTGTCGAGTGACGTGTGAAGTGTGAACCAATTTTGTACTCAACGACGTCGTTGGCTAGCAGCAGGCTAATGTCCGAATTCCCAAGTCCAAACAGAACTAGAGGAGCCCTCACATTGACGGTGTCGTTTTCTATTAAACATATTTAAAACCCCGAGGCTGCAAGCAATGCAGCAGCAAAAACCTACGTCGTCTGCAGAGATGGGAAGAGCAGAGAAAGAGCAGCTTGATCGCACTCTGAATTTGCACATAAACACCATTCATGAGACCTTTCAGGTTCTCTCTTCTTTTTTTTTTTTCTTTTTAATGAAATCAACCCATGTTCCTGTATTAGCTTCACGTAGGAGTTTCTCTCTTGTGTTTCTGATGGATGCTGGATTGCTCTGGCTGGGTATGTATCCAGGTACTGGATCAAGCGTCACCTTCTTCCCTGGAGAAAGTCAGTTGGTACCATGTTGTACAGATGGGTGAACTGCTCTCCAAGCAAGCTACCATTGGTACTTCCTATCAATTCTACCCCTCAACCGCGGCCAATGATATATATATGTTTATGATTTCATTGCAACTTCTTTTCTGATGGGTTTATCGTTTAGATAATTTATGTTTATGTCTATTGTTAGGAACCTAACAAAAAAAAATATATATTGGGTTTTCAATTGAAAGTTCAAAGTTTGCAACTTTGTGCTTATTTATCTGTTTTGATGCTAAAATACGTTCACTTGGTTGATAGTTTCCATTCTTACAATGAAATCTTACGACCCTAGGTGGCAGTAATTACAATTGGCTCTTCTCTGTGCGGGAGGTGTGAATGAATCTTTAATGTCATGCGGCTACTGCAAGATTTCACTATAAGAAAACATTGTGTGTGTGAATCAATTCCGTGTGCCAAGCATGTTAATCCAACCATGCATTGTTATTCTATCCCATTCAACTTAGTTGGACAACTAGGTGTTTTATTTAGGACGTAAGAGTTATATTGTCATATCAATTATGAACTTGGATATCGTTGATTTCATAGGTTTTAGATGTTTAAGAATTAGATTTTATTGAGAGTATTTTGTTTATGATAACACCAATCTAGTTTGCCAAGGATAAATTTAGGAGTGGTCTATTCAATCTTTGGCCATGAACACTTTTTGTTTGTCATTTTTGAAAAAGAGTTCGTCTCATGAAAGCTAAAAATATTTATTTCAAAGCTCTTTCCTTATCTCAAACAGGGAATGACATGCCTAAAGTTGTATTATTGTGTTTCCTATTCCTATTTATTGCGCAGTTGGAATGCTGTGGACTGGAGAATCACCTGAAGCTAAAGCAATTGAGGAGACGATGGAATCATATGTCAATCTGCTACAGGGTTTCCTTTTGCTTTCTCATGGAAGCAGTGTTAGTGCAGGACCGACTCTTTCCTCAAGTATCCATGAATCTGTGAGGCAAGTTGTTGATTGCAGTTTCAAGTTATTGAAGGAATCTGTCTCTTTATATGGTAAATTACCCCTTCTCCTCTTCTCTTAGTGCCGCATATATATCCTTGAGCAATAGAAATTGCCATTAGCATCTAATTATGCTCATGAAATGCTGTTAGTTATATTCTTTATACATAACTGTCTAAGTTTCTTGGAGATTAGTGTATCCCTTTTCTTGTATCTGCTCTTAGGTGTCCCCCCTGTCATGGGACTTGAATAATTGTATTATTGATCAAGAGTCAAGGAGTGATTGCATTAGGAACTGGCAGCAAGAGTAACTTTATTCTGACTCTTTTCTTAACATTTAATTAAGTTAGCATGGTGCATATGTTGTATTGAAAAGTAGCCAAAAACAGAGAATGTTGAAGAAAGATTCAGGATCCATTTACACATTTGTAGGTAATCATCAGCTGTTTATTTCCTAATCCAGTGATTTCAGATATATATTGAAGAAATAATAAAGCAATATTATACAAGGTTGGACACCCGATGGTTGAAGTTTTTCGACAAAATGTTTTTGATATGAAATATTCCAAAGTAAATTCACATCACCATATATATAGTAATTTATTCGGTAGCTTTTTTTTTTTTTTTTTTCTTTGGCGTGCATTTAGATGAGATCCCTTCAATATTAGCAGGATCTTACAATAAGGACCGAAAGAATTCAATCCCACGGTTTGTTGGCACTGTATGGGAGGCCTGTTCTGCTCTTAACAAGTGTCCCGCAACAAACATCACAGCAATTGGGCGGGCAATGACACAGGTTGCAGTTTCTGTGGAGGATGTTCTCCGTGAGATGAAAGAGCTCAAGCCGGTTTCTTCAGATGTAATGGATGAAACTTCTGACAGGGCTTCAACAAAACCAGAGAACGAGCCCCAAGAAGAAGATGATTTTAGTGAGGATGATCTAGGCAATGATTTATCAGAGGAAGAAATGGAAATTGCTCAACTAGCAGTTGGAGTTGTGTCTGGGACACTTGCAACTGTAAAGGAACTTATTCGTGCTATCACAGATTTGATCAAGTTGGAAAACCCAGATGACAATGGTAAATTCGTAGGCTCTTTGGAGAAATTATTGAAGCTGTGTCAAGAAGTTGGGGCACAGATTGATGAACTTGGGGCCTGTCTTTATCCCCCACAAGAGCTCCCTGCCATTAAGGTGGCTTTGGAGAAAATATCAAGCAGTATTGATGAAGTACAGTTAGAGATGGAAAGTTTTAAGAGCTCATCCGAACCCTTGGTTCAGTCATTCAGCGATTTGAGGACCTCCATAAAACAAATGTTACATCATCTAGATTGCGTCGATACAAAAGTTGTAGTTGACAAATTGCAGAATGTTGCTTTGACCAATTAGAGAGATGATAAAAATTTTGATATATATGGGTCTGTTATGTTAGTTTTTACCCTTCCATTAGGACAACTTCTTCTTAGCTTTTTATTTCATTCTATCATGAGAGGATCTTGACCCCTACGTTGGCCATGAAATATATATGAATCACTGGGCTACAGAATGATAAATTTGCATATACTAAAAAATTTTTTCTACAATGATTATACAAATTTAACAGGAGATTGAGGAGGCAGATTTATACTCCTACTTCAAGTTGCCACCCAACTGAATTGAAGACCAAGCCAATCACCTCCCAGTAAGCTTTACAACCCATGCACCACCTAAGTAAAGACCCAATAAAGGTGCTGCCAGAAGTATCTGGGTAAGAGGATCTGTTGAAGGTGTAAGTACAGCTGCTGCAACAACTGCACCAACCACAACGTATCTCCAAATTGAAAGCATCTGGTCTCCTGAGACTATTCCAACTTGTCCTAGAAGAAATTGAATAACTGGAACCTGTAGAATAACCCAAAACGTGCTAATAAGCAGAGCACGTAAAGCATCTAAGCATCGCCAAGACAGAAGATATCCACAAATTTTCACCTCATATGGGGATTTTACTTACACAACTAACAATCAGGTCCTTTACAATGAATATTCTTCAATTAATAGTCTAATGACTAATAGTAGTTCATCATTTTTCAATCAATTTATTCTATAATTCATCAACAAATTTTTGGGATATTAAATTATATATAGCACAATACAACTAGACAATGAGGCATTGGCCCAATGACTAAGGAATTCTAAGGCCTCTGGAAGTCCCAAGTTCAAAGGCCCCTCCCTCAAATATCAAAAAGTAGAAGTAGTTGCATTTTTAAGTTATAAAGACCTACTATTTGAAATATTACCTTTCATGAACGAGGTCACGGTTACTGTCATAAACCATAGTTACTTAAGCAGGACAGCAGGATATTTATTTATATATATATATATATATATTTTTTTTTTTCCTCTGAAAGGGCTATTGAATCGACACCTTCCTAATAAAAGGAGGAGTTGCTAATAACCTAATATTGACAAATAACACTGATTGTAAAAGAATGGTCAGCACGGTACAGATCATGTGACTATATATGCTCAAAATCCAAGTATAACAGATTTAACTTATTTTCTTGGCTAACATGTTTGATTCATCTTATTCTTACTTTTCTTGCATTACTTAGATCAATTAACAGACATTATCTAGGCTTCTTTCTCAGGTTGTGAGGTGTGTAACTAACTAGTGAAACCAGTGATACTTTCTATAAACAATATACATAGAAATAACTATCTATGATGACAAGCATCAACCCACACCCACAAAAGGAAGAAATATCATTTTTTAATGGAAAAGAAAGGGCTTGAAAGAACATTTACCTGGAAAGACAAGCCTGTACTGAACATAAGCACCAGTACAAACTCGAAATATTGATCAATGGACCACAAAGATTCCACAACCCCTTCAGCATAACTAACAAAGAAATTTAAGGCTGCTGGAGTCAGAACCAAGTATGAGAAGATGATGCCAGCATAGAAAAGCACTGAGGAGCCCAAAACAATAGGCCCCAGAAACCTTCTCTCTGCTCTTGTTAACCCTGGAAGAACAAAGGCTATGATCTCATAGAGAATAACCGGGCTGCCTATAAGAAGGCCACAATATCCTGATACCTGAAGCACATAAACAAAAGCATCTAATGTAATTAAGAGCCATTTATTTCATGTTAGTTTTTCTCTGATTTTTTTTTTCCCCCACTTTTTCCCACAAGCATTAGAAGTTAAAAGCAGCTAACTTCTTATCTAAACAAAGTTGAGAATCATCATTTAAACTAACCTTTAAAGTTGTGAAGAAAAACTCCCCAGGTGCCAGTTGCAGAAACCGTACACCTTGCACTTTAACAGGGGCTTCAAGAATCATTATCAGTTCTTTAGAATATGCAAAGCATCCCAAGATAGCTGCTCCAATTGCCAAAACTGACACAAATATCCTCTGCCGAAGCTCTTCAAGATGATCAAATATACTCATTTCTTTATCATCAGGGAGGAGCTCTTTATCAGGATAAAGAAAATTATATAGTGCACTTTGTTCATCAGCTTGCTCAAAACTCTCTGATGTTCCTTCTCTTGAGATATTAGCCAAGTCTACATCATCCATAATCCGGAAAATTTCAGAATTTTACCAAGAACTAGCTAATCAACTAATTCCTTCTATTTCCTTAAATTCATCCCATGACATGGATAATCAATCTCAAATCATAAATATTTGGTACAATTCGAGACGCATGATGCTTCGAAAAGCATCCAAAGTAATTTTCAAGCACAATTATCTTCTCTTCCTAAGAATCCTACTGAATTTTTCAGTTCATTTCACACTAACCCAAATTAAAAAAGGTAAAAAATGGAGCTTTTACGTTTACGATCTTACCAGGCCTATCCTCGATAGCCGATCCAACTCCACCGCTGGTACTCAACTCCTGCTGGTTTTCCCTCAAATCATCATCGACGGCAGCAAAACAAACAGCGCCACCGAGCCTTCTCCGGCTCCGCGAAGCAATAAGTGCTGAATTCTTCCTCTTTGAGCTGCTGACTCGTACGGAACTCAGGTTGAGCCGAGTCCTGGCTGAGTCGAGGAGTCTGAAGCAGCATTTGTTTAGCTGCAAATGGGAGATTAGAGCGGTGCTGGTGCTTCCCATCTCTCGCCGGGTGTCCAGAAAAATGTTAAAAATAAAAACGGCTTCGATGCTGGCTTTGTATGGGCACTGGCATCATCTGATTCTCAACGTTGAACCATGATTGGCTCCTGTTTTGGACCAATAACATTTTACCCAATTCAAGCCCTGGCGCATTTTAGCAGCCCGTGTGGAGGTGTTCTATTGCGTGCCATACCATTAGCTCCATCAAGCACTGCTATTTTCCATTAAAAAAAAAATGATAACAATAGGATAACATATTTTTTCCTTTAGAAAATTTTATTTTACTATTTAAATTGTATCTACTATAAAATAAAAATCATTAATGCTGTGTTTGGGAACTTGAATTTCACAGCGTGTATTTGAATTTGGAGTGCTCAAATTCAATTTTACTGTTTGTTTTTATCTAAATAAAATATAATTAAATTTGGATGAAATACATGTATTTTAACAGAGTAATTCTTGTGAGTAAATTCCGTGCATTTCAATTTCACCATAAAACCCTCGAATTTCAATTTTGAATTGAATTTGGTCTGCACTCTCTTCTCACCGACGGCGATGAGCCGTCGGAGTCCCTCTCCTTCTATTTCCGACTCCTAACTTCAAAATCACAGCTCACTTTTCCATTAAAAAAATCTACCTCCATGCCCAACTGCTTCTGATAACTGACGTCTCACCGAAATCATGACTGCCTATACCCACAGATCTACTGGTTCCATGTTGCCCAACCAAAACCCATTACGACCCACCTCCTGAAACAAGCCATGGTGGAGATACTGCCGCTCGGCCGGTTTCAGTTGCACCAGCAGAGGTTCGAATT